CTTTTCCTGGTGCAGTGGGCACAACCGTGTTTGCACAAGTGTAAATTGTGCATGTCCTATACTCACTCTCAGAGACTGGAACACGCTGTGTGCACGGGCCGGGGGGTGGTGGTGTAGGGGTGGTGGGAACTACTCCTGTTTGTATCAAAATCTGGAATATACCAAACTCTTATTCCAGTTATGAGAAAATAAAAAACGAGGCTGGGAAAGAAACATCCAGAAGCGGTTTAGATCATCAAGGCTCTCACTTCCATTTTTATTCTGACACTTCTTTCAGTGGCTCCGAGCCTCAATCTCTTCTGTTGCAAACTGAAAGTTTCACACCTCTCTCACAAGATGGTAGTTGAGATGGAATGAGAGAGGTTGTGGAAGTGGAAGGTTTTCAAGTGATGAAATGTAGAAAGTGTGATTGTGTCTGTTGGGTTCTAGTGGCCTGAGACAGCTCCAAGGAAGGCCAGATGGACAGGTCCAGGTATGGGGTTGGGGAGAGAGCGCTATCCATGGGGATCCACTGGGAGTATTTTTTTCTTTTTTTTTAGATTTTAAAAATCTATTTATTCATGAGAGACACAGAGAGAGAGGCAGAGGGAGAAGCAGGTCCCTGCGGGGAGCTCGATGCAAGACTTGATTCCCAGACACTAGGATCACGCCTGGAGCCAAAGGCAGATGCTCAGCTGCTAAGTCACCCAGGCGTCCCCACTGGGAGTCTTTCTGAAGAACTCAAAAAATGGCTCTACAGTTGTGTATTTTATGTGTTGATGATAATATGCAAAAAGAGAGAGGGAGGGGGAGAGAGAGGCAGAGCATAAAGCCGACTCTTACCTCCAGAGAACTGAGGGCTACCAGAGGAGAGGTAGAAGGATGGGTTAAATCCCTGATAGGTAATAATGAGGGACCTTTGTTTTGATGAGCCCTGGGCATTGTGTGGAAGTAACAAATCACAGGATTCTACACCTGAAACCAATATTACACTGTATATTGACTGGAATTTAAATGGAAACCTGGTAGAAAAAAAAATAAAAAGAAAACTTTTTTAAGGACTGAGTTTGGAATTCATCAAAAAGTCTTACGATCGTTGTATTAAAAAATAAAACCATGGCAGGAAGTACAGTGACACTATTCTCTTAATTCTCAAGTGTTGACTGTAAATGTTTTAGCCTTAAAAAAAATACATTTAGAAAGTTTTGTTGACTGCTATTTCATTTGCACTGACTGATAAAGTTTTGAATCTAGCCTAGCCATCGTTTTATTATTCAGGTAATTATCTAAACAGGGTTTCGATAACCTTGGTGTGAATTCCAATGTGAGGGATTTTAGCACTTATTTCATAATCGGAAACTAATTAACAAATTTAATTAGCCTAAGAAGAAGGCCTTCTTTCTTCTCTTTGTCAGGAACTTGAAAACAGTTGTAGTATCAGTGAAACTGCCGGAGTCTTGAATCTCATTTTTCTGGCCCAAGAAACCTCATCAGGGAACATTTTCTACCAAAACCACTCATTCCTTATTTAAAGAACAGTTTTCATTTCAAAATTTTCTTTTGAAAGATAGCCTTTCGTCTTTAGTTTTTATATGCATATGGATGCACGTATAATAAATGCACTCGGAATTCTTTACCTACCCTGTGTCTTTTCGGTAGGTCTAAGGCATTGAGAAAAAAGAAGAGCGCCATAGGCCCCATTTCTCTGAAGCAGAGAGGAGGATGAGACAAAGGACACATTACGACATAGCCACGACTCGGGATAGCACACGAGGAAGTCCTGCACACTTCCTGAGAAGAGAGGGCCCAGTTTACTTCTGGATTTTTCCAGCAGTCTGCGCAAAGAAGGAAACTTGATCAGGTACATGAGTCACAGTGTTCATAAAATGAGAGCAGAACAACCGCTCTGGCAGAAAGCTGTGTTCAGTTTCTGAAATTGCTCACTTTGGTTGAATATTCTCACCTCAAGTTGGGCAAGAGCCTGGACTAAGTGATTTTTTGGAAAGAACCAGAAAAGTTATCCTTCCTCTACGAAGCATAGTCTGTTAAGACTCTGCGAGGGTGTAAGTAGAAATCCAGAGAGCTTGGGATTCAGTGGCCCTATCTAATTACGGTTTTAAAATTAATTTTTCACATCTGATAAAATCACCTCTTCAATGATATGAGGGGAGAATTTACAAACTGCTAATAAACAATGGGTATGGGGTGGGGGCAAGGGAATTAAAGATATTTAAAGACACTGAGCTCTAAAAATGCAGAAATTCAGACCACACCATATCTGGAACAGCGGTGGGTGATCTAATAATATTCCCAAATTTTTGACCATTTGGAGGTTGGGAATGGAGCAGTCTCTAAGAACACCACCACTTTCCGGCTTTGGCACATTTTGCGTAGTGGAGTCAGGAGGCTCCGCCCAGGGTCCCAGCTCCGGCCTCAGGAGTGAGACTCCAGGGCAGCGTATCTGCTTCCTGGCAAGAGGAGTGGGAATCAAGGTCAGTGGCCCCGGGGGCGGGGGGGGGGGCAGGAGCTCCCGGCCCCCTGATCACACTCCCTGCCTTCACAGCGGCACACTTAGGCTTTCCCCTGAAAAACGTCCCTTAGTAAGTGCGTTTTCAGGAGCTGAGGGCGGACGGTAAACTGCACCACCAGGCGGCGGGAGCGCGCTCCGCGGAACTGGAGCCGCCGGGCCGCCGCCGCGTTGCTTTCCACGCGCTGAGCTCTCCACTAGGTGGCAGCAGCACGAATATAATTGGAAAAGCCATTAATGGGTTATGCTAAAAACAATTTCAACTCTTTAAAATCTGCGAGCAGCACTTTAGGAAAGTATCCACAATTGGAAAGCTTTTTTTTTTTTTTTTCCCTCTAGAAAATTACCAGGCTACTTGCTTTGAGGCCTCCCACACACTAACCTAATATCCAAAAACACAACACAACACAACAAAGCAACGGATTAAAACTTTTTTTTGGGGGTGGTGGAGTGGGCTGGGGGAGCGCCTTTGAAAGAGCCTGGGAAAGATTACTGTTTGAAACATTATTACTGAAGAATTAGCCGAGCCCAGGCTTTCTTACCCTAATTTAGAAAAAAAAAAAAAAAAAGTGACTAGCAACTAAAAGAGTCACTTTTTTGAGTAATAGTTATTATTTATTGACTATTATGTGCCAAGGATTGTATTTAAATGCTTTAAAAACATTGATTCACTGAATCTGGATCAGAGCTTTTTTAAAAGCCCAGATTTGAACTTAAGCCTGTTTAGGGCCATCTCCTCTGTATTTTCCATGACCTTATTGTGCTTTTTCTGCTAGAACCATTTTCAAAGCCCATATTGAAGGAGACATTGGAACGGCTTTCAAAGTGTGATTTTGGGTGCACACAGGGATGTATTCACTCAATTTATGACTTTCCCTTTCGTGTAGATGCATAACATTAATCCAATGAGGGATAATAATGTATTTTGATTCTACAGTTACATTGGAGGTTAAAAGTGAAGATTGGTTTGGGAGCAATAGCAAGGTAATAAACACATTCATGCTGAAACTTAAATGACTGTTAGCATCATGGCTGAGAGCAGAGGAGGGTTGGAGAGGACAGGGGGTTACCAGGTGCTTTGAAAACCAAGTTAATACCAAGCAACTGTCTGCCAGGGATCCACAGTGAGTGGGTCTGTCCTCTGAAGTCCCCAGGACCTTTGTCTCTTAATTCAGTTCTAAATTGGACTAGAACCTATTATAGATAGGCCAAGCCAATTGTTCTGCCCAACGAATTTACTGTATAGTAAAGCTGCACTTCAGTGTCCTTTATTTCAAGTATCTTTAAAAGAGATACAGTAGCATCTCAGTGTGGTAATCCCAAAAGCTGATTCACGCAAAGAGGAGAAAGTCTCTTTTCTACTTTACACACTAAACTGTCTGGGGTGGAGGAGTACTGAAAGAAGAGAAAGGAGCAGGGTTGAGGGACTTAGGGTCCAGTGTTCCAGGATAGAGTGTTCTAGGATGGAGTGACTTGATTCTCCATCTGTGGCTAGCATCGTGTCCTCAGTTATCTGCAGGCAAGGTCAGGTGACCTTGGGTGCCAATAAGCTTAGCACATATTAGTAGTAAGAGTTGTCCTTAACTATGCCTCTACCTACTAGGAGTCCAGTGTTGTTCTTATCTGTCTCATGCTTAGTTGTTATGCAAACCCTGCTGGGGAGCTGATTCTATCCTTTCTCAGGAACAATGACTTGCCCAGGGTCCAATAGTTAGCAAAAGACACAGCGAGGATTCAGATCCTATTTTCTTAGCTGTATTTCCTCTACTTTTCTAGGGCCTTCCTCTGAGGCCATGGCTGGTGAAACCTACTTACTGAGAGCCACCAGGGCTCATACTAGCCAATGTGTATCAGTTAGTAAGCACAATTGGCTCTCAATGTGATTAATTATATAGCAAAGGCCTGTTCAAGTTTACGTCTACTGAAAATGCTACATCCAATGGAGGCATTATAAAGCAATCCTGGGAAAATAAGCATACGTGTGAATAAAGCGCCCCTCCAACTCTTTTCCTGGCTTAAGCAGGAGTTAAAGAAAAGAAAACAGCATGAGTCTAACCCAAAAGGCAGCACAACCAGAAGGTTTTATCCTGCATACCTGTCAGCCAAAAAAACGATTTGCTCAACTTTCTTAGGGACAACAGAAGGGTAGGGGTGGCAAAGAGATGAGACAAAGCTGCTGAAAATTTTTGGTGCTGCTTTGTTCTCTATCCTAAGTGTTTAGTTTTGTTTGCATATAGCGACTTTTCTGTGGTTTCAATCCCCAGAATTCCTGCTTCCCAAAGGACAAAGGTCACTCTGGAATTCTGACCAAGACTTCACAGAACAAAGGAGAGAAAGCCAGCATACCTCAAGCAACATTTGCATTCTATAAGACAAATACACTGAGCTGTACACACAACAGTACACTTGTGCTACGTGAACATGTTTTTCTGCAAATGTTTATTTAGAAAGATTTTTAACAAATTTCAAGCAGCTTGTATCTATGGCAGTTTCTTCAGGTGAAAAATGTGCTAACTGTCACAATGAAAACCAAGATGCAGGCAACAAGGAGCAAAATCAGACCTACACGACAATATTTTGAATGCTTTTCTTGTTCCTCTTCCTTTTTCAATAAGGTGTCAAAACCGGGTGTGTACATGTCTCCCAACCAAAACCGTAGGTCATTAGGGTTTTCCTAAAAAAAAAAAAAAAAGATTACACAGAATAGGTTCAATCACTAACCAGTCAATGTTACAGACTAATTGATACTGCAGAACAAGACACCGTCAGAGGTATCGAAGGTTAATATTCACACTGTTCCAGATGAGGCTTAAGTGTCACAGCTCAAATAAGAGAGGCTAGGCTTTGAAGAGCATCATTATTTCTCACCAGCAATGGCTTGAGGCTGAGCTGCCCACCCTCTTTGCCTCTCTAGTCCCAGTGGATTTTAAGTCAGATTCAGGGGTCAGTAAATTAGCTTTAGACTTCTGAGTGCTGTGCTAGGAGAGGAATGAGCACACACTCAGGGAGCTGGGTGCATGCTGGTGATGGCAATAAAATTCCTTGACCACATCGCTATAATTTCAACTTCCTGGTCTTAGAAAAGGTAAAATATTAAAATAGCATATGGATGAGCTATGCAGAAGGATAGTCTTGCAATCCTTGTCTACCTTACTTGTATCCTTCATTTAGTTTGTGTCCTAATCAAAGGCAAATCTGATGCCTACATTCCCTAGGGAGAACTTCCATAATTCCAAACCTCTCTTCCATTCTACTCCTAGCTAACTAAATAGGGAGCTTATTTTCTTCTTCCTTATTTATAAACTCTTAGTAATGTAGAAAAGTGGAATTGGCCAAAGGCTCTTGGAACTCTTACAGCCTGTAAGAGGTAACAATGAGTTAGGGGCTTGTCTGCTAATTACGACATATAGATAGGGATGTTGATGAAAGGAGTTGAATTAATGAAGTATAGAAAGAAATTCTAATTAAAACAAAGCCATGACTTTCAGAAGCATCCCTCAAAAAAGTGCTAGAGATGGCATCATGAGGTCTACAAACGCTGAGGTAACTGTACATGTGGGGGATGGGGGAGGGGGACAGACCCTAGTTTTAGCGAAGCATTGCATCCATCATATTTATATTTGATCTTCCTGAACAGAACTCAGGGAATTTTCCAACAAAAGTATTATTCCTCATTGCCAATGATGTTCAATCTCCTTAGCCTTACATCTTTTTTAGTGTTTTTGAGCCTCATTTTCCCATCATTCTATTACTTAAATTGTAGTGCGAGCAAAACTGAACTCCTTATTGTTCTGACAAACTCTCTCACTTTCCTGTATTTGTGTCTTTTTTCTTCCTACTCTGGACAGAAGAGCCTCCTTGCTCATGCAAATCATTTATATCTTTTGGAATTCTATGCATTTTTCAAGCCAGTAAAAATTAACCTTTTCATGAAGCCTTTTTATAATCCAGTGTGATCGTGTCCTCTTTTGAATCTGCATAGCATTTTCTACTATTATTAGGAGCACTAGCCTCTTCCTCTCTATTGTTCTATAATGATGGTTTGTTACTTTGATCAGTTAGATGAGCTTTTTGATAACAGGGACAGTAATATTCATCTTTATAGTTTTTTTGCCATTCATGTAAACAATAAAGGGCAGAGAAGAACCTCTAGTGTAGAGTCAAGAAATGTTTGCGAAATAAAATACATGCTTTCCTAATTGAAGAAAGTGACTTTTTAAGCGGCCCAAGCATCCATCAAAAGATAAATGGATAAAGATGTGGTATACATATATATAATGGGATATTATTCAGCCATAAAAAAGAATGAAATATTGGCATTTGCAGCAACACAGATAGAGCTAGACATTATAATGCTAAGCAAAATAAGTCAGAGGAAGACAAATATGATATGATTCCACTCATGTGGTATTTAAGAAACAAAACATATGAGCAAAGGAAAAAGAGAGAGAGAGAAAAAGAGAGAGAGAGAGAGAGAGAAGCCAAGAAATAAAATTTTAACTGTAGAAAACAAACTGATGGTTACCAGAAGGAAGGGGGTTAGAGGGATGGGTGAACCAGAGGATTGGGACTAAAGAATGTACTTTTCGTTATGAGCACTGGGTGAATTGTTGAGTCACTATATTGTACACTTGAAACTAATACAACGCTGTATTGGCTGCCTGGGTGGCTCAGTTGTTTAAGAGGCTGCCTTTGGCTCAGGTGACGATCTCAGGGTCCTGGGATCCAGTCCCGCATTGGGTTCCCTGCTCAGCAGGGAGTCTGCTTCTCCCTCTCCTTCTCCTTTCCTCCTACCCCCAGCTTATGCTCTCTCTCTCTCTCCCTCAAATAAATAAGAATCATTTTTAAAAATATAGTAAAAAAGTAATTAATATAACACTGTATTTTATCTACACTGGAATTAAAATTAAAAAAGAAAAAAGAAAAAGAAAAAAAAAGAAACTAACTTCTTAGAAGTCTTGACCTTCAGATTCCTGATTAAAAAAAAAAAGCCCACAAGATTACTGTTGCTATGGGGGAGTGTCTGTTATGGAAACTTCCCTGGAAAAGAGGTTACATTAAGAAGGAGATACATTAAATCTAGCAGGAGACTGAAAAACCTCAAAGACTCCAGACAACAAGATATTTCAAGAGTGCTCGTTTGAGATTTTTTTTTTTTAAGTGTAAGAGTTTACACTTTTGTCCTCTTTCCAACAGAAAAAAATCTTCAGGTGCTTAAGGTATGAGCCTCAGAGCAGATATACACCTTCTTAAGTGAAGTATAAGTGGAAAAAGTCAGGCCTCCCTGGCCCGAGGGCAGGCAGGGGCAAGCTAAGGCTGGGGAGGAATCCAGTCCACTCAGAAAACAGAGGGCCACTCTTCCTGCTTTGCAGGTATTTCTAGATCTATTTGATAGATGATACCAGGGGGAGAAAAAAAAAGAAAAAACAAAGAAAGACTGCGGTTGGGTTTAAGCAGGGTGAATGAGTTCATTGCATACTTTTCCTGTGTTGAAATGTTTTTGTTTTGCTTTGTCACCGAGACATAGGACACTGTCCAAAATGTAAATCTGCAATCTTAAATCACTGAGTGGGCTTGGAATAAGATGACCCTTGGTGAGAACTGCCTTGTACCATGCCTGAGACAGAGCACTGAATAAATATTTTTGAATAAATGCAGAATAGGGAATTCTTAAGTGTTCATGAAATAAATGATCACAAAACTAGGGGAAAACATACAAAATCTGGCAAATTAATTTTCATAAACCTTTTACCTTCTAGGTAAACTTTTCTATGTCACATCATTTCTTTCTCTCTACACTAGATAGATGCCAGTATATTGCTGCCATAGTCAAACTCAGAACAAATCAATAAACACATATTGACTAGGAGAGAGAGAAGGATGCCTGGAGCCAAAATGACCAGAAATCGAGAGATTTGGGTCTAGTGAAGAGTGCTTGTCACCTTACTACCCATTTTTTAAAGGAATATTTAGCTGATATTCTTCATCAATTGAAGGACGTGATTCTTTGCTTTGAGTACCTTCAGATGCCCAGAAAGGTTTGTGTGCAGGGAATGCCTGTCATATTCCTCAGCGGTCCATGAGGGATTCTTTTTTCTTTCTTCCATAGCTTCCTCCAAACCTATGTCACCATAGAGTGGGTTATTCTTCAGAACTGATGACAAGGATGGTGGAGGATGATCCACAGCAACAGCACCCTCTGCATTGGATCGCCTCATTTGCTGAGCAGTGATGGTCTTTTCTCTCTGTTAGGAGGCACAGGGACAAGGCTTCTTTTACCAATGGGTCACTGGAGGATGAAATGTGAAATAACTGCCCCTGAAAATTTGTGGATTCCACCTGGAAACCCAACAGATTAGGACAATGAATGAGGAAAGGATTCTAGAATCTAATCTGACCTAGAATCCTGTCATTAATTAAATTTTCTTCTTTGTGTGTGATCTTGTTCAGCTTCAGTAATCATTTATGAAAATGCTCTTTTATAACTACAGAGAAAGAACATTGTTTTTTAATTCGAATAGCAGAATTCTGGACAATGCCAGTTTTTTTTTTCCCACCTCACTTGCAGTGATATTTAATGACATTTTACTTCTATCTGTGTATTCCATGACTGATAAAAATAATATTTAACCTTGCTGTATTAATCCAGCAACGTCAAGATTAAAAGGCATTTTATAGATATGCCTTGGCTTTCAAAAAACTCTCTTGGGACTCGTTTTTCAGATAATGTGAAGGACAGAACAGCATCATACTCCTTTATGTGTCTACAGACTAGCTGGCTATTAGATGGCTCTAATATTGACTTAAAGATAGATTTTTAAAATCTTTTTTTTACTGAATCAAAATATACTTATAGAAATGTACACATATCATAAATGGATAGCTCAATAAGAAATAGAACATTACCAGCATACCTCATGTTCCCGTCTTGATAACCCTTGCCTTCTCCCTGCCCAAGGACAATCAGCATCTCGAATTTAACAGGGTAGGGTAATTATGTTTTTATGTGTATGATTGACCTGCAGGTTTTTACTTTGCTTTTTTTCACCCCTTTGACTGTAAAATTATTATGGAGGTAGAAACATTTTGCATTGAAATTTGTTCATTGGCTGAATAAAATTAAGAAGAAACAAAAAGCTTATAGATTAATGCCTCAGTTATAATGGGCTTCAAGAGAGAGAAGTTCTACATAAGAAAACTTAGGTTTAACCCTTAAAAACTGGTGACACATTGCATTAATTTACAGCAATCTTTTAATACATGTGTTTCACATATTTAAGTCTTCCTAAACAGAGAAATTTCAAATAGCAATTAATATTACTCTGAGTTATATTTCTAATCATCAAGACACTGATTCCCTTAGCATATATTGGGTATAGAGGTCACATTAAGTACATATTTATGTAAGCTAGGTTGTGAAATAGTATTACATACAGTTTCCTTCTGAAATGGCTGATAAGCCAAAAAAAAAAAAAAAAAAGAATCATCTAGATAAAACCATTCATATTCTCTTTGGCCTTAAGCTTCCTTAATTTTCTTAACCCATACATTTTTTTATATACTTAAAGGTCAAGTTAGAGATCTCTGAATTTATTAGGTTGTTGGTCTGCTCAAAATCAATTTATATTCTTCAATACTGAAATTTTCAATGAAATAATATATCATCTTGACTTAGCATTTGTCTTTAAGATGGATGGCTTCATAAAAAAAGTTTCTGAATTGAGAAAAACAATTTGATATGAAATTTAGATCATTTCAGCTTAGCATAATTCTGACTTAAGGTTTTTTTTTGTTTTCAAGGCTAGACATCTTTGATCATCTTTGAGAGGGATAATTCTTCAGGCATTAACAAATTTACTTTGCCAGTTTTCTTGCCCACTGGACTATTTCTTCAGCTTCTTAAGTAAGATAGCTCTATAAATGAGGAAAAAACAATTTTGAGGGTCAGGAAAAAAATAACAGACTCTATTGCAATTAATACCTTGAAAAACTAATAGGTATAAGATAACAAAATAATTTTAATAATTATTAATTCAGAGCTATTGTCTAAAAAGAACATTCAAGTCGTTAATTCTAAACCATATTCTTGAAAGTCTGAGATCTATCCTAATACATGGTGCCATTTATTTGTGTGTTGCATGACAATTTCATGTCTGAAATATATGTGCAGAGAAAATAGAATATCTTTGCTAAGAATTTGATGGCAGGATAAAAAACACTGATTATAGTTGAGGTTCATTTATATTTTGGTAATTTTTTTCAAATAACTTAAGAAAGAAAAAAAAGGCATGTATTTGATTTTAACTCTTGACCCCACATTCTGGATAGATTACATTTACCAAAGGAAAACTCAACAGTAATTCTATTATTTTAGTCATACAGACTCTAAAATAATTTGTATTTTTAAATATTAAAGGAAAGCAACACTTCAAAGCTTACCTAGACTTTTCTGTATTCACCATTACTTTGTCCATTTTTCTTTATACATTTTAGTCATTATTTACACCATTTACATATAAGTAAATTCAGTAAAAAGAGCAAAATAGAATGCATTTTGAGACAAACAAAAAACTTAGACTATAGAATTAATAGACCAATAAAGAAAGAACCTCTAAAAAATGTACTTAAGGAAGAAACTTGATAATAAAAGTAAAGATTAAGATGCAAAAAGAAATGCTGAGCAAAAAAAAAAAAAAGGAAAAAAGAAAACGGATAAATCTCTCTATATCTAAGGAAGTTTTGATTTTATGATAAAACAGATAACAATGATTAATTTGTGAGTTTTTAAATAAGGGATAATTAAATCACTGAACTGGAAAATTTAACAGGTATTTTTGATCAGAACATTTTAAGAAATCATGTCAGTGAGAGCACAAAAATATTAGTAAAAATAGAGAAAGACTATATAGTTTCCTTATCAGCAGAGCAGTAGAAAGATAAAGGGAACTTGATCATAAGACAACAAAGCTGAAAAAAAGAGTAGAGGGAATCTCAGAAAAATATTAGAAATTTTAGAAAGCATCATGTTAAGTGTAAATAGACTAAACCTTTTAATGACAGAGATTGTCAGATCAGATTTTTTAAATTAAATTATGTAATATTACAAGTGGAATACCTAAAATATAAGAACTCAAAGAATGAGAATGAAAGAATGTGAAAAGATATACTGGCAACTACAGCGAAATGAGAGCTACATATTGTGGTGTCTAGTTAAACGTGTATGAATTTTATTCTCCCCTCCTGAGCATAAAGGATGACTGCCTTTCCCAGTTTGGTTTGAAGTTATAATGGGGCCAGCTCTTTCCTAGTTGATGATTTATGGATAAAAGTAATAGCACCATTGAACCTGGTTCCTGAAGTCTCCCACAAGATTTTGGCTCACTTTCCTCATTTCCATTTTTGTGTCACTATTAAGCAAGGGTTGTATGATGGCAGAACTATAGGATGAAAGAACTTGAGGTCATGGGTTATTGCTTGGAAAAGAGCTGCCGCTAAAATCTACCTGCCCTTCCTCAGACTTTTCATGAGCAAGAAAACTCTTTTATTTTTGGGATGCCTAGGTGGCTCAGTTGGTTAAGTATCTGACTCTTAATTTCAGCTCAGGTAATGATCTTAGGGTCCTGGGACTGAGCTCACTGTCAGACTGTGGGCTCAGCAGGGAGTGTGTTTGAGGATTCTCTCTCTTCCCCTGACTCCACCCCTGCTTTCTCTAATGAGTAAATAGATCTTTAAAAAATATTTTATTTTTAGTTAGTGATATTTTGTGAGGATATGTGCTATCACAGTATAGGCTAGCCTATCCTCCCTAATACACAAAATGGTATATCTTAAAATTCCATAAACATGTGGCATGGGTTTAGCAGCCAAGAAGTGGAAAGAGATAAAACATATCAGCAGCTGGACTGATGGCTATTCACAGCCTATAGTAAAAAACTGGCATAAATGTCATCTGTCATAATGCAACCCAACTACTTTGTAGCTCTAGGAGAGATACTTACAAATAATCAGAACATTTATGTACATATAATGACATTACAATAATCAGAGCATTAATGTGATACAAGGAAGAGATGAGATTAGAGAAAGAGCTGGACAGTTGGAAAGAAGAAATGAAAGAGTAGAGAGAACCTAGAAATTAGATGCCCTCTATCCTTCCATTGTTGAAGATCTGTTTGCAGATCCCAAAACCAAAACACAGAACTCTTTAAGAAAAAAAAAGTTGAGCAAAATATGCCTATTGAAATTTCTCAGTTGAATAAAGTGACTTAAGATAAAGATCATGTAAGGCTGCACTTTCATAACTCTTATTCCTGAGAGTTTCTATGTGGTTGTCACTGACTTTAAGAATACAGTAATGGAGGCACGAAAGCCAGTTTGAGAATTATGCCTTCAGAGAACTTCAGGCATGTTTACTGATTTATAAAACTGACAGCAAGTAGTCAGTTATGTCAGGTAAGATTACATTAATAAATTGCCTCCTAAATTCTGTAAGAAATATATTAACAAAGAGATCACAAGCCTACACCTAAAAGCTTTTGGGTATTTAGATATAAAACAAAACAAAGCAAAACAAAACAAAACAAAAGAAAGCAGTGACAATAACCCTAGATTTCCACATTTCCTAGAGTAGAAGTAAACTTTGAAGCCTACCTTGAAGGAGAGTCTACTTTTGCGGCAAAAAGAGAGCAGCAGGGGATCCCTGGGTGGCTCAGGGGTTTAGCACCTGCCTTCGACCCAGGGCATGATCCTGGAGTCCCAGGATCGAGTCTCACGTTGGGTTCCCTGCATGGAGCCTGCTTCTCCCTCTGCCTGTCTCTCTCCTCTAAAAAGTAGAATCATGGTCTAATCAATCTTTCACACCTTCAAGGAAGGAGGCCACACAAACTATTCCCATGGGATCTCAGAATTACTTTGGAATAGTGACTACTGTGTCTTTAATTTTTCCCATTCAGAAAGGAAGAGTTTATAGTTTAAAAAATATACTTATATATGTAGTTATTATGTAAAAAACATACTATGCATATTATTACATATTATGTAAATACATTTAAAAGAATGATAAACTGTGGCAGGGCCTGGCTAGCAAATCCATTTCTTTTTATGGGCATACAACAGCCCATGGACTAGGACATAGGACTGGATTGGGACATACCCTAACTCAGGATTGACCCCTGAAATCCCTGGATTCTTGGGTTACTCTCCAATCTACAGGCCCAGCAGAGATTCTGATACAGTAGATCCTCAA